TGTGTGTGTGTGTGTGTGTATGTGTGTGTATGTGTGTGTATGTGCGTCTGTGTGTGTTGAAAAAAGGGTGGGGAGGGTTGCGTTTGGTTAGTTCGGGGATTGGTGATGTCAACAAAAAGGTTAGATCTATTTAGTTTGTTGGAATAGAGAGAATCAAATTAAAACAGTAACAGTTGATTGAACCTGATAAAAGCAAAATTGACCAACAGAAACAACAGAGGCAGAGAAGAGAAGTAGATTTTACCAGTAGCACCCTCCAAACACCCGCAAAAACGTGTAAAGAGGGGAACCGATAAGGCAGGGAAAAACAGTTGTCGAAAGATAGAAATGGAATTGAGAAAGGTAAAGGTAAATAGAGAGAGAGGGACAAAGAGAGAGAGAGAGAGAGGGATGAGGGGAGACAAAACAGTGGGGGGGGGGGAGATGGGATATACGGGGTATAACAACAAAGCTCGCTTATTCGTATAGTCCAACCAGAGAGATGTACTCGGACCAGGCATTAAAAGGGTTAAATGTGGTCATTCAAAGCACACAGAAAAAACGTGAGCCCTACGTCACCGTAGCAGTGAAGGGGTTAATGTTCTTAGAATAGCTTTCTACCTTAATTCCATCTAGTAATTATGAGCCAATGGATGAAAAAAAAATCATAATAAAGCAATACACGCTCCATGGGTTCGATTGTCGCACGAGAAGATACCGGAACTGTACAAAAACAACGTTGAAATTTTCACTATTCTACCAACTGACGTTCTATCTTTGTGATTCAGGCTATCAGAGACTGAAAGATACAGACCTTAAGCAGAGCGCTCCCTGTCGGGATCAACAGTCAAATGTGAAGACGTGAGATTCAAGGAAAACGTCATGTCATTTACACAAGAACACCGGGCCCAGCTGGAATCACGAGGTTGGACGGTGGTGCCGGCTGTAGTGTCTGAAGCAGACTGTGACAGGCATCAAGCTTATTTCAGGTGCTTTTGTTTGTGTAAAGTTTTGTCGAAATTGGTCAAAAGACTATAGAGTTATTACGTTATAAATAGGTCCTCTTTAGATACCCTGTATTTTTATTATCATTATCATCATTATTATTTTTATATTATTTTACAATTTTAACTCCAGTCTTCTTCAATATCTTAATTAATACTTATTAAATCTGTTTAAAATTTTCAGAGAAGATAGTGCAATCATTTTACAACAAGAGAAACACGTTGAATGTTTTTAGCCTTCGTGGACGTACAGTTGTCAAGGGTCTAAATGCAAAGTGACAGCTTCAGTAACGAGTGTGCTGCCTTCTGGCGTTGTTCACATCTTCACATCGTCGACGCAGGGACTGATTCCAGCCCAAATCATGACACTGCCAAAATTGTTTTGCTTGTCTGAAGCACCTTTAGTTGAGTCTTCTGTTGACTCTGGCCTGTCCATCGTTGCCTTTCCAGTTAAAATTGGGACTCATCTGAAAACATGTACGTATTCCAAATACGACGTGGCCTTCTCGCACAATGCTACGCCTAGTGGAGTCTATGCTGGGTGTGATAGGGCTGCAGTTTTATGCGATAGACTAGACTCCTAGCTCAAGGGTTTCCCTCTTCCAAACGACAAAGAACAATCGTTCCAAAGATTGGATTTCCATTTCTAACTGCTCTCGACTAATCTTGGGTCTGTGTTGGCGGTTGAAATCGATTTTCCTCAAGCGTTGTGTCGAATAAATTCGTCTTCCCTCCGTTTTGTCTTTCTATGTCCAACTCGCTTGGGCCTGTCTGTTTTGGCAGGCAATTGTTGCCAAATGATCTCGTGTCGCACGCACAGTGTCTGCTCTAGTTATACCTTCTTGCGAATGACGAAACTGGAGTGCCGACATGAAGCATTTCATTAATGTGATTTCTCTTGGGTTTATTCAGCAGAAGCATGGAGAATTGGTAAAGAGAAGCCACTTTTTTGGCTCAGTTTGTCAAGCATAATTTTTTGGAGTCAAATTTGAGTGATCATCTCCCGGGTGGCTCTCAGCATAAGTACTAATGTGTCAGATGGTGCAGAGTTTAGTTAGCCTTAGATTGGTATGCTGCATGAGTGGGTAGTACAAAACTTCAACACGATGATTGGGAGATTACATTTTCAAGTTTCTTTTGGACACCACTATATATTTATTTATTTATTTATATATATATTAAGTTGTTCCCGCTTCCGACCCAACATTGAGGATTGCCTTGCTAGTAAGACAACTTCCTGGGCCTCCGGCATAAAAATATTGGGTTTAGGGTGGCCAGTTCCTTTCCACGCCGTCTTTACTTCCCAAACTCGAAGTCAGGTACCCATTACTGCTGGGTGGGCAGGAGGGGGCGAAAAAAATCCGTTTCCGAACCGAGGCCCGAGCCGGACTTTCCGCTTCAGAGACAAGCTCACTAACGGCTGCGCCACCGCAACTGTGTGTATATATATATATATATATTTATATATATATATATATATATATAAATATATATATATATATATATATATATATATATATATAATGATACGATAACAATAATTTAGATAGATAGATAGATAGATAGATAGATAGATAGATAGATAGATAGATAGATATACCCAGAGAGAAAAGAAACGCGAATAAGTAAAGCATAAATAAAACATACTACACTCAACAGAGGTTTGTCATGTGTAAATGAAATTTTAATTTGTCCAATTTACACAGCCATGAGAGTGTCAATAGGTGGCTGTTTTAAAGCAGTTTTAGCCTCACTTTGTTATGTCTGTGACGTTGAAATTGGGACAGAAAATCGGTACCTTGTGTGACCTCCGTTGGCAGCAGTATTTGCTCTGCATCTTCGACCCATACAGTTCATGAGAGAGTTTATTTGTCGACCTGGGATCTGCACCCTTATCTGGTCGACGAGCGAAGCCAATTGAGCAGCTATCTGTGGTGGGGGTTGCAGCTGGTTAAGCTGCATCTGGATAGCGTCCCAAACGTGCTCGATTGCTGTTTGAGTCAGGTGAACGAGCCGTCTGAGGCTAACGATTGATGTTGATCTTCCGAAGAAACTGCTGTGTTATACGGACAGTATGAGGTCTCGCGTCGTTTTGCTGAAAAAAGAAATGTAGATGCTTCCAGAAAAAAGGGCACCACATGAAGTTGGAGTACATGGTCAAGGTTGCGCTGTGCTGTAACCCCTTTTCTTTGTCCATGACCCACTTTCTGGATGAACACTGGTCCACTTCCTTGATTTAGAGCGATGACTCCCCACGTCATGACGTTTGACCGTCTTCAAAGGTCTCTCTCCATGACGTTGGCATCAACGTAGCACGTCAGGTCTGTGTGCCCCACACGGATGCGCCCATTTGACGGATCAACGCAGAATCTGCTCTTGTCGATGAACAGCACCTTGCGTTGTATGCGTACGGGCATGTGTTTGTGTGTGTGTGTGTGTATATATGTGTGGGTATGTGTGTATATTTGTGTGTGTGTATATGTGTGGGTATGTGTGTGTGTTTGTGTATGTGTGTATATGTGTGGGTATGTGTGTGTGTTTATGTGTGTGTGTGTGGGGAGGGGGGGCATCATGGTGAAATTAAGCGCTGGTCAAAACAAAGAAGTCGAAGAAACCTATATCTTACCTCCAATTGGACAATTTTTTCTTTTTTTTTTACTCAACACCTTCTCTATTCATTTTTAAGGCAAATTACATTGTGAAGTTTACTGATATATGTTGATCAAAAGCATACAAAAAATGTAAATTTGCCATTTCCAAGGTCACTACAGCTATGGAAGTCACCACACTTTGGCGGACTTCCTTCAGCCTCCAATATCTCGATTTCTATTCTAGATATATTGGTGTTTTTCAACACAAAGCAATGCAAATGGACAGGCTATAATAAACTCCAAATATCTCCACATGCCCCAAATTTCCACAAATCCACCACGCTGCCCCCTACCCACCTTACATACACAAACTCTCTCTCTCTCTCTCTCTCTCTCTCTCTCTCTCTCTCTCTCTCTCTCTCTCTCTCTCTCTCTCTCTCTCTCTCTCTCTCTCTCTCTTTCTCTCTCTCTCACACACATACACACATAATATATATATATATATATATTTATATATATATATATATATAAATATATATAAATATATATTATATACACAAACATACAAAGAAACAAACAAACACGCATACACACATACGTATAAACATACATAATATACATATAAAAATATACAATTTTGCTAGTGATCTTAGATCAAAGATCCCATATATTTAAGTTTTCCCACATTCTCGATCTTCATTTCTCATTAGACATTGTTGCAAATATTTTAACATCAGTTACCATCCTCAAAGTATTGACCTAAACACTGTAGTCCCACCCACACCTATTGCTTCCACCCATCAGAAAATGGTTGAGCGGCTTTCAGCAATATCCCCAGAGTCGTAATTCTTTGATATGGAATTACAAAAGTGGATACCTGGCTCCAGTATGGGAAGTGAGACTGGCAGCTAAAGACACCTTTGCTCAAGTAAGTAACATTATAGTTAGAGATGTCTTCGTAATATATTGGTCTGTCTGTCATGTTCTTGAGATGGTACAGCGCCGTCCAGGAAAAAGAAATAGACGAAATGCAAACCTCTTTTTTCTATAATATTTTATTTAATATTTTAACCTAAAGCCTCATTGAAGCCCTACTTGTTTTAAGAGATCATCCGCCGCTTATACCCTTTTGGGTGTCTCGGGAAGAAAGAGACGTCTCTCTGTCGCCATCTGGAGAGCTGTTGTCAGGGGGATGCCGTGGGTGGTTAATGTTTCCCTGACTCCATCTATCCAGGTCTTTCTCGGTTGCCCTCTAGCCTTGTTGCCATCGAATTATTTTTTACGTAGGCACGTTTTGCTGGATGTGTGTTGGTAATCGTAGGAGATGTCCGAACCATTTGATTCTTCGGTGTTGGATGTGATGCATGACATCATTTGTGCCCATCATTTCTCGGATTACTAAGTTTCTAATTTTGTCTCGCCTGGTCTTGTTTACTGCTTTTCTAAGGCATCGCATTTCAAATGCTGTAATTCTTTGCTCTAATGTCTTGTTCGTAAGAATTAATTTGTAAACTTTCAAAAAGAAGTTCAATATTGTTCCCTCAAATCAAATTAACCACACTGCTACGGTGAGTAGCTTAAAAGGGGCAAATAAAACCAAACTGTTTCAACCCTTTGCTTTCTTGCCTGCAGATCTGGGGTACGTCTAGACTACTAACCAGCATTGATGCTATTGGCCTGGGCAGACCACCTGAGTCAAGTGGTGAGACGTTCTGGGAGCCAAAGGGCGTCAAGTTTCGATCGAATCAAACAGCAGAGAGGGAAGGTCTGCACGCGTACCAGGTCAGTTTTTGCGGGTGTAAACTAGTTTTAGAGGTTAAGAAAGTTATGGGTAACAGTGTGTTGACAAGTGATTTCTAATTTAAAACTTAACTAAAGCCAAATAAGTTATAGATGTAACGGCCCTTTCAATACTGACACGAGATCTGTCCTAGAAGCCAGTTTCCGTATTCTGTAAAATTAATCGTTTTATTTTACAGACATGGGATTTTGTACATGCATACAGAAACGTGTTTTCCGGTCAACTTAACAGCTGCTGATCTCAATACACTTTAAAATCAGATGTAGCCAGAGGACAAAGACAGGATCATTTCCGCAAGAGTCTTTGAGTGCAGTATTAATTTGTTTCGAGCTCAGTTTCTTTCTAGTACTCAATCGCTTCCCCTTTTGTCCTTCTTTGACTTTACGAAAAGAAATACAAGTTGAATGGTGCTACGTCTGAGAAATAGTGTGGGTGTTCAATGATTACCCACTACCAGTAGTCCAGGATATCGGTGACCTTTCAAGCATTGTGCTCAAGCGCGTTGTCATGATGAAAGACAACTCCTTGCTCAAGCAGACCCGGCTGCTTTCTTCTGACTGCTGGCCACAGCTTCGTCTTAAGAACCATCTTGTAATAATAAGCAGTAACGGTTGTGCCAACGGGAACCGGCCAGTAAAAAATACACTTTTGTGATCGAAAAGCATGAAGTGTATTCGTTTCAAAGCATATCTTGCTTGCGTCAAGCTTTCTTGGGTTGTGGTGATCTTGGGTTTCTCAGCATTCTGCTGATTGTCTTTTCTGTTTTAAACTTCACGAATACACCCATGTTTCATCACCTGTTCTGATTTTTTCTTTTTAAACAAAGTTTCCTTTTACTCTATGAGATCTGCAGGTGCGGCGACTTGAAGACGGGGAAGATTTTGTGCTAGAAATTAATGCAATTCTTAGGTTTGTGGCTGAAGCGGATATGGTCACAGCATTCGTCCGCTAGCTACATCGGATGTAAAAATGCATTGGGATTAAAGTTGTTATGTTCGATAGAAAACCTGGTTCTATAGGTATGTACACAATAACATGTTTACAAAATAAAAATTCTTTATTTTATGAAACAGGGAACCTTACTTCTAGGACAGACCTCGTTCCACCGAATTGAATGTTCATCCCCGTTATGATCTAACCAAATTGGTCAGAGCTTTGAAACTCCATGAATAGACCTGAGTTCAAGAACAACCAGTGGGGGATTTATTCCAGGTCCATGTACTAAGCAGTCCAGCCTGATACGTACTGAGCGCCCAACATACATAGAGCATTATTTTAAAAACGGTTCAATTCCATATAACAGAACGCTATAAAGGGGGGGGGGGGGGGGGTGCAGCTAAAAGTCCCGATTCGGCTCAAAACTATGGATTTCAAGTTGTCGGCATTTTTAACTTCTTCAGAATCTCTTACAACTATTTCATCGCCTAAGAACCCCCTTAAACCGTATTTTCTTCCCATACCGGGCATGTTTCTCACCACCATTTTCTCATAAAGTCAATCTTTTATTTTTCTATATCGTCCGTTTTCTCGAAACGTGGTTTTTCTATATGCTTTTTCATCCAATCTTCATGAAATTTTCACAGAATGAAGAAAAGATGTAATACTAAAACTTCGTTTGATAAAATTTTTGTATATGGAGCAGTTTTTCGTTGGTGGTGTTTGGAGTGTGGATTTTCACGGATTTTTTGCAAACGTGAAAAATTCCAAAAATGTTTCTAGTATGTTCAGGAAAAATTCAATAGACAAATTTGTAGATTTATGGTTTGTCAATATGCATTCAAAAAACAATTTATTTCTGTGAAAAATAAGTGTGATATTAATTACGTAAGACGTGTCAACAAAATCCAATATGGTCGCTGTATCCATGGAAACGAAACGTTTTTTTCAAAATTGAGTGCGGATTTTAAGACCCCTTACTATGCTTGTTATATGTGGGAAATTTGGTAACATTTGATCCACTAATAAGCGAGATAGCCTTCAGCTGTAACCCCCCCCCCCCTTCTTCACACAACAGTAGATTGAACTGTAATCAATAATTTGTACAAGAAATCATAATACATTCAATCACTTCAATCATTTCTTTAGCCTGTGTTGTGTCGGGATCTATTGGGTGGCCGCTATGGTTGCTATTATTAGATTAAGCAGTGATCACCTGTATAGTTTCCCCTTTAACTACACACCCGTGCAAGCTTTCTAATTGGTTCAAATTACCCCTGGCTTAATGATTATGAAATAACCCTATATGTCCTATCATCACTGTGACCATTACATAAAGCACATTGCTGTCGATTATAGCCTGAGTAGTTTCGAAAAAAAATCTTTCTATCCTACATCCGCAGGGAAATGTCAACTTGGAGCATTGCGAGACAGATGACTGGACGTACGAAGTTCTGGAGGGCTCGCACAAACTTTATGACAACTTCATGGAGAGTAGCCAACAATGGCACTGCACTTGTCTAAAGCCTGAACACATCGCCTGGTTTGAGGAGAAAGGTTGCTCCCGTAAACGAGTGACGTGTCCGAAAGGTGGCATGCTCGTGTGTGATGCGAGACTTTTCCGGGCAGACGCAAGACCAACCCGTGGACGTGCCAACTCCGGAAGATGGCGGTTCCTGATATTCGTGTGTATGACTCCAGCCTCGTGGGCCACTGACTCGGACCTAGCGGTGAAAAGAAAAGCGTACGAGAATCTCATGCTCACCACACATTGGCCATCGCAGAAGATCTTACTGTTTCCTGACGACATTGACAAAAAAGAAGCAAGCGACCCGTACCCAGAGTTCACTTTACCGGAGCTAGCGTGTACTGACGAGGCTAAGAAGTTGGCCGGTGTCATGGAGTACAACGACAACGAGAAGGATTCAGAATTTCGTCCAACATGGAATGAAGACAAATGGGGTGCTTTTATTGATGAGTTTTTAACGATGCAACTGACAGTGAATAAGAAGAAAAAATAAGGAACAAAGTCTCACTTAAACCCCAAGGGGGGAAATGAGATTAGCGATGTCCTCTTCACATGGTTTCGTGTATCATGGGGCATAGGAACTGTTTTTAGATAACACCCACTTTTTCTATGATAACTACATGTATTTAGATTGCAGCGTTCAGGAAAACTAAATCGTAATGCTCTGACTACTTTTGAGAGAGTAGCTGTTCCTTGTAAGGCCACTCATTGGGTACACTTATTATTCTGCCATGAGAACACAGCTAAATAGCCTTTTTGAGGGTGGTTTATTTGTGTTGATGTAGCTGTTTGCATGTTGAGGGAACCGGCGTCTGTGGTGTGGGGGTAAGGCTTTTCGCTGTCTCGCTGAAGAGATCGAGTTCGATTCACAAGAGGAAAGGGGGGGGGGGTTATATCGAGCATCTGGGTCTTTTTGCTGGGATGTTGCATCCCTTTCACCCAGGGTTGGCCTTGACAAGAAGGGTCGGAACCCCGACTCCTAAAAGAAGTAAATTGTGTCGATGCATGCATAAAAATAGCTATATTTTTTAAAGAAATGTTGAGGGAATGTTGATGATTGGATTTAC